AAATCCAGCAGTACTTATCGGTCAGACAGTCACCGCAGCTGAACAAGGTGAAGAAGAAGAAAGAAACGAAGAAAAGGGGAAGGTAGAAAAGGAAGAATGGGGGAACAAGAAGGAAGGGGAAAATGGGTGGCGGCGGCTGCGAATGTGTTATTTGGGGAAATTTTATTAACGTTATATATATATTTTTGAATAATATAATAAAAGTGTGTAAAAAATTTTGGCAATTTTGTCTTTTAATTTTATTTTTACAAATTATATATGTAATGATATATTTGTAATTTAAATAAAAATTAAAAATATTTTTATATTAGTATGTAATTGCTTTTATTAAAATCGGAAAGAAATTTTTTTAAGTGGAACATACTTAAGTACTCTTTTTTAAGATATTAGTGTATAATTAATTGTAAACATTATATGTCAATAATATACTTCCTCCTTCCCATAAGTAAGTATCCGTTTATTTTTTTTTTATGGAATTTAACGTATATTAGTATTATATTAATATAAAATATGAATAAAGTAAAAATGACTAAAATAACCATTGTGTAATATAAAAGTAATGACATTTGTGCAATATATTGTAAATTGTAAGGATATTTGTAATTTTGGATAGACAGTACAGTTACTAAAAAAGAAAATAGATATTTTATTATGGAACAGACCAAAATGAAAAAATAAATATTTTGTTAAGGGATGAGACAATATATAATATGGATATCATTTTATAAAAAATAAAATCTATATATAAATAAAAGTATATATTTATTTATCTATAATTAAAATAAACTAATTTTATTAAAAAAATGAGAAATTTTAAATATATTTAAAAATTATTTGTTTATTGACGAAAGTGATATAAATAAAAGAGTTTGAGTGGATCCACGCGTAATAAGTTTGTAATTTAATTAAATTGATTTATATTTGTTAATTATATTTAAAATTGTTAAATTTACCAAAAATCATCATATGTGTTACTGGACTAAAAAGGAACATGAGTCATATGTGGATGAAGTATATTTTTCAATATCCGTATAATTATAGATATATTCAAAATTTTGCAATCGAGATATCATTGGTTAGTTCTTTTTGTAAAAAAAAATACTAATATATTTGCCTAAGAAAATGCTACCTCCGTTCCACACAGGGTGTCTTGGTCACTGTAGAACGGAAATTTAAAATAATTATAAGTAGTAAATAATTAAGAATGTATTAGTGAAAATAATTAACTTATAATATAAATTATTATAGATTAAGATAAAGATAACTAATTAGTTTAATTAAAATTTAAAAAAATTTAAATTAGAAAATTTAAAATAAAATTAAGATGGGTAATCATTTTCCAAAAAATGAAAGTGACATGAGATGTGGGACGGACAGAAACGGAAACATGGACATGGTAAGTGGGACGGAGGGAGTAATATATTATACATATTCATTATTTTATATTATGTACGCAATTTCTATAACTCAAGTAAAGAATACTCCCTCCGTCCCAATACAATAGTCATGTTTACCATTTTTGTTCGTCCCAAAACAATAGTCTCATTTCCATAAATAACCGTACCATTATAAAACTACCCTTACTTTTTCATTATTATTATACAATTATCTTTTACTCGTACTTTTTACCCAATATCAATATAATATCAATATTCCTTAAATCTCGTATCAAACACAACCCAAACTATAGTTATGGGATGGAGGGAGTATTATTTTAAACTATTTCACAAAATAAACTCAAATTAACACTATTTAGGACAAATAAAAATTAAAAATTGTATCTTTCTTATAAAGTAGAGGGAGTAAAAAGTACGTGTTTAGTTTGAATTTTAAACTCAAGTTAAAACTATTTGATTTATTTTAACTTTTATAAAAATATACTCCCTCCGTGCTAATACAATAGTCTTGTTTACCATTTTTGTCCGTCCTTAAACAATAGTCTCATTTCCATAAATAACTATATCACCATAAAATTATCCCTATCTTTTCATTATTATTACACAATTGCCACTATTTTTTACACTAATTAGGCAAAAAAGTTATTTATCCTTATTTGTTATCCACTGTCAATATAATATCAATATTTTTTTAAATCTCGTACCCAACACAATAAGGCTATACTTTTGAGACGGAGGATAACTTTTGTACAACATCACATCAAATTAGTATTTAAATCAAATTATCAATTTCTAACCAAACTAAACAAACATAATACTATATTAAATACAATAAAATGTTACCACTACTATTATTTCTAATTTGCTATATTCCAAAATATTTGTATGTTGTTTCTTTTTCTTTTAAACATAATATATACAATCATGTTAAAAAAAAAAAAAAACGGCATAATTGTCAATAAAATAATAATAAAAAAAATAAGCAAAACAATATTTTATATTATATAAACACGAGTTTCTACGGATCTGCCACTTGAAAAGTCTATCCTGTCCCTCATTTAGAAAATGAAAATTTAGCCCTTAATCACACCTGCCTGTCCGACCTGCTGACCATCAGACCTGTCTGCCCGACCGCATACCATCCGAATGAGGTTCAACCGACCAGACTAAACTACCGACCCTGACCCGTGAACCAAGAAGAAACCGACCGAGGACCTTCTCGCCTGCCTATCCGACTGCTAAGCATCTCACCTGACAATCCGACCGAAAACAACCAACCACACCAAGATGAAACGCTGTCAAACCCCTTCACCAAGCGACCTGTTTATCTGCATCCCGACCAACTGACTTGTATATCTGACCGCAGACCAGCAGAGCTACTTTATATGACTGCAGCATATCACACCTGCCTGTCCGACCTGCTGACGATCAGACCTGTCTGCCCGACCGCATACCATCCGAATGAGGTTCAACCGACCAGACTAAACAACCGACCCTGACCCGTGAACCAAGAAGAAACCGACGGAGTACCTTCCGGCCTGCCTATCCGACGGCTAAGCATCTCACCTGACAATCCGACCGAAAACAACCAACCAGACCAACCGACTAGACCAAACAACCTGAGGGCACACACCAGATTGTACGGAACAGCCACTTGAAAAGTCTATCATGTCCTTCATTTCCAAAATAACAATTTCCCGTCCGTTTGTACTAGCTTCAAAAGACGAGCTTGTACGGATGTGTCACTTGAAAAGTCTATCCTGCCCCTTATTTCGAAAATAACAATTTAGCCCTTCAACCTACCTCTGTACTGATTTGCTTATCGACAACCCCTTCACAACTGTCTATTCACACACCCACTTGCTCTGCTCTTCCGCTTACCTCCTGAAATCGCAGGTCAGGCCGCCGTTCTTGGCGTCCAGCCACGCCTTTCTGTATCATCATCTTCATCACAATGTAGTTTTCCTAAACAGTTGGGCTTTCCCGTGTGTAATCTGTGTTGTTGTGAACCGGAAGCGCGATTTTGATTCGCCATCGAAAGTACAGATCTCTGCCTCAACCACTTTTAGTTTAAGTTTTGTCTCGTTTTTGCTTCCGTAGAATTTACTTACTGCTATTGTTGGCGTCTTTTAAAAGAAGGGCTATTTTTATTCTGTTTTGTCAACGTTTTAATTCTTACCCACTGAATTTGGGAAGAAAAAGAGCCACAACTTATTGCATGATCTTTCGGGCAGCTGGAATACGAGGCTTACGGTAGAATTGGTTCTATTTTTTCTGGACTATGATGTCATATTTCAATATGTTATGATGCAAATGGCCCTAAGAATTGCTCTCTGACCTTATAAATTGCATTCTATGTAAACTATTTGACTTAGAGTAGCATATTTATTTTTACGACTTCTTCGGCAATAGCGTTGATAAATTTGCTCTTTGTTATTTCTGATTTTCATATTCAGGGCTCTTGATTGTGGAAGAAATGGTCAAAACATAGAGTAATCTTGTGCAAAAAAAAGGTATATTTTCTGTTTAAACATGCTTGTTTTTCCCCAGTTAAATTTTATAGTGAAAAGAAATTATCTTTATATCTCATTGTTATTGAATTATTTGAGAAAGTTTTGTTTTTACCACGAAAAAAATGGATTAAACATGTTTACTAATTTTCTATAGTTGACTTTAAAAGTAAAGCTAATGTATTAGTTGATTTGGGTATTAAAACTTGTATGTTGTTATCAATTTATATTTACTTTGTCGGGCATAAGTAACCTTCTTATTTACTTTTTTTTTTCGTTTTGTGTCTTTTTCTTTTCTCAAATTCTTATTATTTATTTGTTTTCTACCTACAACTACTTTTTACAGCCCATGACACAATCTCAGTCATTGCAATGTATTAGACGTCGGCAACAAACATGTGATCGCCGATCAGCTAACCAAACAACTAATAGTCAACCGGTTAACCAAACATGTATGCACATTCTGTCTTCTACTTTCGGTTTTTAGTTTATTAAATTTTTAAATGTTGTTACTTTACTTAATTTATTATGTATCTTCGTATCTGTTGAAACTTTACTCATCTTACCAGCATGCTCTCCACTACTACGATTGTCTGCCATTTATGTGTCGCCTTGGGTAGCACCCCAACCGACAAAATGTCGTTACTGTGGTGCATTATTATTCCACCGTGAGCATAAAACCCTATGTTGTGCTGGTGGGAAGTTTTCCTTACCGCTATTGGACATGCCACCTCCTTTGCAAGACCTTTTCCTTAATCGCCATGAACTATCATCTCATTTTCGTACCTATGTTAGAACTTATAATAACTCTTTTGCTTTCTCTACATTAGGAGTTCACTATGACGTATCTTTATGTAATAATGATCACAACTTATATATATTTCGTGTTAACAATACAATTCACCATTTCATTAACTCATTACTCCCCTCAACAAATGTACCGAGAAACCTACAACTTTATTACTATGATCCTACACAAGAGCTTGCCACACGTTTGAGTAATTACCCTACTTTACATCCATCTATTGTTACAATCTTGATTGAGTTGTCTCATCTGAACCCTTATGCAAGTTTATTCCGTCAATTGTATACAATGCCTTGTCTTGATAACTATAAAATATTTCTAAAAACCTCCAATCGATTAGATCGAAGAGTGTATAATCTTCCACGGGTTGATGATATATCAATTATATGGCAAGATGGGTCTTCAGATTGTCCCCAATTATCTAGAGACATACAAGTATATCCGGTTGATGGTTCTGTGAAAAAGGTTGATTATTATTCTTATGCCTATGATCCTGTTCAATATCCATTGATCCATCCTTTTGGCCAGCCAGGTTGGTATCCCGGCATTCTGAAAAATTCTGCTACATCTTCGTCTTCCTCTACACAGTCCACACCTAATTTATCAGCAGAGTCGTTTCATACTGAACAAGTTGACCTATCAATAAATAGCTCCTCAGATTACAGTATGCAATTAGGACGTAATAAACGCCGGATGGACAAGAGTCATGTCTCTATTAGAGAATACTATGCATATCGCCTCCAAATACGGCCTACAAGTCCTACTTTACTATTACATACTGGTCGTTTGTTACAACAATATATAACTGACCAGTACATAAAAATAGAAACTCAAAGGCTAGATTTTTTCAGGTCTGAACAAGTGCAAAAACAACACCGTCACGACACCATGCAGGGTATTCTAGACGCTTTTAACCAATCCCAACATGAACCGTTATCTATGATTGGACAACCAGTTGTCCTTCCATCTTCTTTCATTGGTGGTCCCCGTGACATGCAACAAAGATATATGAATGCTATGGCTCTTGTACAAGAATTTGGTAAGCCTGATTTTTTCCTTACAATCACTTGTAATCCACAATGGCCAGAGATTCAAGAACTCTTAGAACCATTTGAATTATCAACTGATAGACCTGACATTGTTGCTCGTGTGTTTAGAATGAAACTAGAAGAACTAAAAAACGAACTTTTCAAACAACACTTGCTAGGTAAAGTGCAGGCGTATTCATATGTCATTGAGTTTCAAAAAAGAGGATTGCCACATGCCCATATGTTACTTATCATGTATCCACAATTTAAATTACACAACCCCACAAGCTACGACAAATTTATATCTGCAGAACTTCCTAATAGTAACTTAAACCCCTACTTATTGCAACTCGTCTTGAAACATATGATGCATGGTCCTTGTGGCTCTCAAAACCCAACTAATGTGTGCATGGTTGATGCACAATGTAAGAATCATTACCCAAAGGAATTTGTGGATGAAACAATTCATACTCCAAATGGATATCCTAAGTATAAAAGACAAAATAATGGCATTTTTGTTATTGTGCGTGGACGTACTTTGGACAACCGTTGGGTGGTACCATATAATCCATATTTACTTGCTAAGTTTGATTGTCATATAAACTTGGAAGTATGCTCGAGTGTCAAACTTGTAAAATATCTCTACAAATATGTGTATAAAGGTCATGATCGGGTTGCCTATACTGTGGGCTCAGTAACACCCGACACACCTCGTGATGAGATTATTGATTTCCAAACTGGCCGTTGGGTTGCTCCACCTGAAGCTTGTTGGCGTATTTTTGCATTCCCCTTGACAGATATGCACCCTCCTGTACTTGCTCTGCAATTGCATTTACCTAATTTTCAGTACACTTCATTCAAAGTAACAGACTCTTTACAAGATGTTGTAACAAATGCACGTGCCCACAAAACTATGCTTACTGAATTCTTTGTCATGAATGCAACCAACGCATATGCCAAGGCACTTAATCTACTTTACAAAGAGTTCCCAAAACATTTCGTATGGGATCGGGCACACAATAATTGGAATTTTCGCAAACAAGGTTCAATAGTAGGGAGGATTGTTACAGCAAGGCCAACTGACCAAGAAAGATATTTTCTTCGCCTTCTTTTGCAGTACCGTCGTGCTCTTGTATCATACGAGGACTTAAGAACAGTTGATGGTGTTATACATGATTCATTTAGAAATGCATGCGTCGCGTTAGGATTATTAGAGAGTGATATTCCATTGGTGGATTGTTTGCGAGAAGCTGCACTTTTTCAAATGCCCCATGCTTTTGCACAATTATTTGCTACCATACTTGTTTTTTGTACACCATCTGAACCTATACAACTATGGGAGATGTTCAAACAATATTGTGTCCCAATTACCACAATCTCGTCTTCATTTCCACTTTTTCCTATTGATCGTGCTGCTGCCATAATTGTAGAAAAATTCCTTGAACCATTTGGTATGCATATTCATGACTTTCGAATATGCATGCCCGAACAGTCCGAAAATGGCCTAATTGAAATAACTTTACAACAGCCATCGCCTGCAGAATTTAACCTGGTCACACTCCCAGGAATTATTGACAAACTTAATTTACAACAACAGTTCGTCTTTAACACTATTATTGAGAAACTGCATAACAAGAAACCTTATGTCTGTTTTGTTGATGGACCAGCTGGTACTGGGAAAACTTTCTTATACACTGCTATTTTGTCATACACATCTGATCATACCATTAAATCTATTGCTGTAGCAACATCTGGAGTTGCTGCATCGCTCCTTCCTAATGGTCAAACTGCCCACTCAAAATTCAAATTGCCATTGGATATTAATGAGCATAAGACTTGTCAGATAAGCAAACAGTCTACCTTAGCAAATGAGTTACGACATACCGACCTAATTATTTGGGATGAAATTTCAATGGCAAGACGTGAACTAATTGAGGCTTTTGACATTACTATGAGAGATATTATGGATAACAACATCAGTTTTGGTGGTAAAGTTATAATCTTCGGGGGGGATTTCCGTCAAATTACTCCTGTCATAAGAGACGGAACAAAGGACCAGTACATCGAAGCAAGTTGTGTATCGTCTCCTCTATTTACACATGCAGATAAGTTTCACTTAACTGTCAACATGCGAGCACAAAACGATAAATCATTTGCAGCATTTCTTGAGGAAGTAGGGAACAACTCTTGTGTAAATAACAACAAAGGAGAGATTCAGATCCCAACAACTTCATTGATTACCTCTGAAAATAATGACTTGTTGCAACTAATTGACAAGATCTACCCACATAATTTACTCCATCCAAGTTCCTCTGCTGCATTAATTGGTAGATCTATATTGACACCAACCAACGAGACAGTTGATACTATTAACAATCAAATAATTGAAAGCATGTTTGGAGAACCAATCGTACTAATTGCAAGAGATGTAACTAAAGATCCATCACAACAAGCACATTATGAAGATTACCTAAATACTTTGACACCTAATGGTATGCCACCTCATAGATTAGTTTTGAAGACAGGTGCACCAATAATGCTATTGCGTAACTTAGACCCCACAAATGGCCTTTCAAATGGTACACGGCTTGTTTGCAAGCAAATTACACGCAATCTCTTACAAGCAGAGATTGCAACTGGCCCGCAAAAAGGAACTTTATGCTTCATACCACGAATACCTTTAAAGCCTAACAATATACATGAATGCTCTGTTGAGTTCATACGTACTCAATTTCCAGTGAAGTTGTGCTTCTCAATGACCATTAACAAATCAAAAGGGCAGACATTAGACGTTGTTGGAGTGTACATGAAACAACCGGTATTTATGCATGGCCAACTATATGTTGCACTATCACGAGCAAAATCTTTTGACTCTTTGCATGTCCTCATTCCTTCAGACATCAACACTGGAATGCATTGTTCTTGGACGAGAAACATAGTTTACAAGAAGCTTTTACAATTGGCTGGCATTAATATACCTCCACTTCCAAATCCCACATAGTCCGCATCCATAAGAGCCCACCTGCTACCCTTACTCCCACATTATTGTCAACAATCTATTTCTTTTTTATTCAGTTTTTGCCTTTTTTGGTCACATCTCATGCCGTCTTTAGTTTGTTTCGGGTGATTTTTCATGGATTATATTTTTATGGAGGCTTAAATCAAACATGGTAAGTTCTCTAATATTTTTATGATACACTTAATTTTGTTAGTGTGAGTTACAGTTATGCTGCATTTATTTATTCATGAATCTTCTATTTCTGTCAGAATTTTCAGTCCTGCTTTTTCCTACTGTTTGATGCAAGCTGATTTTTAGCTATTTATATTGTTATGCATCTATGGTTTTTTCATGTAGCATATATGTAAACTGACTTTCTATCGTCTGCACCTTATGTACGTATATTATCTCTTATAGATTGCTCTCCTATTTGTTGTCAGATGTCAACACTTTGAGTTTGTTATACCTCTGACAAAATATATTGTTATACCACACCAAAGTAGGAGATGGCATGCGCTTTCAGAAGCTATTTGAAACTAAAGAATCCAGTGTTCATAACTACGTTGGACATTCATTGCAGTTTATATTATATTATTGCGTTTCAAATTAGGTAATGATCTTCTATTTAATTCTTCAGCTTTGATCCAAACATTTTCGAACATCTAAGATCAGAATTGAGCATCGAAGATCCTGCTAAGATATAGTATGAACCGGTAATTTATCAAAGAAATCAACAATAGTTTCAATCTAAATTCGTATTGTAGTGGTGATCAAACTTGTCATTACATGACATTTTTGATCGTGATTCCAATTTCCCTTCGTAACGAGATTGTTCCCCTTAATGTTAACAATCAATAATTTATGCACTATGTTTGCTTTCAAATGACTATACAGTAAACATTTTTTTTTATATTGTGTTATGTATTGATTTATTTAGCAATATGGAAATTATATTTCAATCTTCCTAAGCTAATCTTCTTTGTAAATGTCCTGCTTATCACCTGCTATTGGACAATGTTGTACAGGAAATGCTGGGAATGAATCAATCCATATACACAGCCATAGATGTTTCAAAGTCCATTAATGGTTTAGAGATCAAGTATGTGGATATATTACCATTGTTGTTTGCCAGCACTAATCTCTAGATTAATGGGAGATAACTGCCTACAGTACCGGATTTCAGGCAGAAGATTCTTGCTGCCAACAGCATACTCTTTGCTAAACTGGAATACATATACTTAACGACAGAAAACTTTTATTTACACATATGATGCATATGCTGTTCCATTACAGCCTTACATTAATTTAGTCCATACTTATTTGGTATACAACAAAGTCTAATGTGGTCTTAATGCCTAGAACCATTTCATCTCAACATGATTTTTGTATGATAGAATAAAATCGATTCTACAGCTGCAACTCCAAAAATTCTGGGGGCAAGATTTTTAGTGCAACATCACTTTCATAATGATGAAACATGCATTATCTCATCAGCTTCATCCTTGTTAAGATTAATATTGAATGATTACAACTGATATCTTTGTTTTTATATACTGTGTTATCACCTCTGCGTCTATGTGTTTTTTATCCCCGCTCAGTGTGTCGAAGTTTTTTAACGATTTTTATGCAACAATTTCGTCATTTTTGAACAAGTAGAATCCGACTGAAGAAAAGATTATAACCTGTTATGTTTTTGTTGATGTAATTTTTCAACAAAAATAAAGTAAAATTCAAAGATATAGAAAATATCCTTAAACTTGATTAATTAGTGCCTGAGATTAGGAATCTCTAAACACTGTAACGTACAGAAAATAAACTGGAAAATAAAAGACTGAAATTTAAAGTGGTGATCCCCAAATCTGACTTTGCTTTGTTGAAGTTGATTGAAGATATCTTGCCAAATGATGATTCAAACCTTAAATATTCCCTGGGAAACCGTACTGAAAACCGTCACCCGAACGGTTACAACGTCTCCTTCTCAACCGTCTTTCAACCTTTCTCATGCTGACATGTGTCCCCAGCAGACCAAAATTCCCTATATTTCACTCCTTAAGCCGACCACAAACCTTCCGCTCTTTTGGCCCGACTTCGTCCTTCGTCCGACCTACTTCTTCGCCCGACCCCACTTGGGCCGACCTCCATATCAACCGCCCCCTGTCTTTGATCAAAGGCCTCCGCGTTTGTCCGACTCCGCCTTCTATCCGACCTACAGTTTACCCGACCTGCGGATATCCCATCTCGACGACTTTCCGTCTCGAGGACCTCCCGACTTGAAAACCTTCCGACTCATCGTCTTTCCGTCTTGCAGACCTCCCGACCTGAAGACCTTCCGACTTGAGGTCTTTCCGTCTTGCGGACCTCCCGACCTGAAGACCTTCCGACTTGAGGTCTTTCCGTCTTGCGGACCTCCCGACCTGAAGACCTTCCGACTTGAGGTCTTTCCGTCTTGCGGACCTCCCGACCTGAAGACCTTCCGACTTGAGGTCTTTCCGTCTTGCGGACCTCCCGACCTGAAGACCTTCCGACTTGAGGTCTTTCTATCTTGAGGGCCTCCCGACCTGAGAACCTTCCGTCTTGTATTTTCCTTAGAAATAAATAAATAAATTTATTTTCCTTGATTTCCTCACGGTGTCCTTCAGCCAGTTCAATCAACCCTATTGCCAGGCCCATTCTTCTTTTTACCTTGGGCTTTTAACCTAATTCTAAATTTCGTACGTAACAACTTGCCCGCCGCCAAGGGACTTTCAAACGCCAATAAATGTTTGGAAGTTCATAAAGCATTACCTTCTTGAAAAACTCCCTTAGCAACTACACCAGTTACTGCAACACTCCTGGTTAACTTCCGTCTTCGCAATACAAGCCTGTGTGAATCACAATCCCAAAACATTCTAACTATGGCGAATCAATACACTCCTGCCCTTCCTTTCGACGGAACCCTTCCAGAAGGTCCATTTTCAGCCTCGAAATTACTAACTCCGACGATCCGTCCATATTGCACTACTCCTGAAGATTCAAATCGGATGAGGGAAGTTTTGGAATCTCGCAACGCCTTGGCTATCAACAATCCCAACTACCAAGCAGTTCGCATCCGAGACAGCATCAAGACCCATCTCACAGACCCAAAAGATCTGTATCGTGCTTGGTATCGACGAGTAGCAGAACACTTCCAGACCCAATGGCGATCCCAAAAGATCGACCAAGCAATACTACTGTCCACCATGCCTATCAACCTGCATGAGAAGGTGCTGTTGGCCATGTCCGCCTTCTGGAATGCGGAAAATGGGACTTTCCTTTTGCCATCGGCCCCCTTTGGCCCAACTCTTATGGACGTGTCCATGATCGCACATCTCCCAGTCGTGGGTGAAGACCCTGTAATGGGAGCCCTAGATGGGCAGGAGCCATCAGAAGACCATCCGGGATGGTCTTTACAAGGTGTGAAGGACTGGGGTTGGACAAAGTTCGCAACCGACCAGCAAGGGGCTCCAGGGACTCCTGTAACCGACCGGGAGCATACTGCCTTTATCCTGTTCTGGCTTTGTAGGTACGTCATTGTTTCCCCTTCCAAAAGTGTTCTTCCTTCTCACCTCGACCTGGCCATTCATATCGCGTCAGGTCGGTTCTTCTCCCTTGGTACTCTATTTTTAGCCAATCTGTTTGAAGGACTCACTAGAGTTAGCCTTCGCTTAACAGATAATGATAATAGGAAATTAGACACTGCCGCGTCGGGTCCTTTTTGGTTTTTAGAACTTTGGTTCTGTCTTTACTTCCCCAACGCGTTTAACTTAGGATCTCCGCCCACTATGCCAACATCTGAAAAACATTTAGGATTAGTCCTCAACCGACTCTGCTCAGGACGCAATAAACTCCAATCTTCCGATCCAATAATAACCGCCATTTTAACAGATACCCGCAGTAACTCTCGATTTTCTATGTATAAAAAGTATGCGGGTTATGCTCCCGACCATTTTTGGCCCTTTCCAGTACCAAACCCGCTTCCGACCCCTGAGCCTTGTCCTCATCCCACCTATCCTTTCGCCTGGGACGTCGCCCTCAAACCCAGGTCTCTTTTTAGTAGCAAGAAACTTGATAAAAAAGGGCAGAAAACTTTTTACACTTTTAACTATGAACCTCAATTCATGGCGCGCCAGTTCGGCTGTTGCCAAGGTATCCCTGGACCCGTCGCGTGTCCCCAAATAATTTTTCAAAGTCCCGACCGACGAGTCCTTCCTAATTCAATCCCTTCTTATATCTCCCAGCTCACCACGTATATAATTTCCAATTCTTATATTCCTTTCCGTTCCAACCCTGAGATTGTAGATACTTTCAATGAATGGTGGTCGGTTGTATGGTCCCTGATATCCCCTGATGAGGGTCGGTTGCTGAACATACTCCTCCCCCCCCAAGGATTGGTTCTAGGAGCGGCGAGACATACTAGCACCCAACAACAAACAACCGCCCCGGGAATCGGATCTGGTGGTCCCACGCGCAAAAGAAAAACTTCCCAGCTGCAAACACCCCCGACCTCGGAGACCGACCAGCAAACACTAGCAGACCTTGGAATAAATAGGACGTCAGCAAGGACCCGACCCCGAATTGGTAATGTTTCTTAACACCGTGAACCAATTCACTATATCGTAACTTTGATTTTACTCATTTCATTCCCCAGAACCGACCTTGGTGACACCGACCATGCAACCGACGCCAGCACCAACCGACCATTCAATCGGGCCTTTGGTCCAGACCAATTTGCCAATGAGCAGTCGGGCGGAGGACCCGACGCAGAGGCAAACTCTTCCTCCCGTACCGAGGAGTGGTCGGGCCAGGCCCCCGACCAGGAGACAATCTTTACCAGCAGTGCCTGTAGAACCAGTAAGTTCCTTTATCAGCAAGACTTAGGATTCGGATGATCAACCTTAATATATTTAACAACAAACATCTTCATGATTTTTCCACAGACACCTTCACCCATCCCATCAGCAGCAGGGGTCTCTTCTGACAGCGAG